AGCAAAATGTCAGCAAACCATTTACATTAAACGAATTAAAGTTTTCTTCTTTGCCATATAATAAACATCTTATTAACCGAGCTAAGTCGGTCTGTATGGGAGAATCTTGACCTCGGTCGTGTGTACAGACCTCACTGCGTTCGGTCTGTATTCACGACCTCGGTCAAGATTCTCCCATACAGACCTCCTGCTCGGTAAATAAGAGCTAAATACTAATTCCTCACCAAATTAAAATTTGGTAAAATTATTCTAAAAGACCATCAATGTCATTAAATGTTTGTACGCAAGAACCTTTTTTTAGGATAAGGTAGTTCAAATAAATGTTACGTCAAATGTGAAACTTTGTAACTTGTTACTTGCATCTGGTGTCTTCAAACTCGTATAGAGATCTAGTAAAATTTTATGGTTCCTGTTACTGCCTGGCTAAGCTTGGGTTGGTTCAATATATACCTACCACGAAATGAAGTAAGTTGCACTCTATCCAACCCGGCTTCACGATGGTGAGCGCGCTCGTCTCCAGATCGAGCGGTCCGGGCTCGAGCCCTGGCTGGGAAAACTGTGTTGTGTTCTTGAGCAAGACATTTTACTCTCACAGTGCCTCTCTCCACCCAGGTTTATAAATGGGTACCGGCAAACTTAATGCTGGGGGTAACCCTCCGATGGACTAACATCTCATCCAGGGGGGGAATAGAACGACTCCTAATCGCTTCATGCTACAGGAACCGGGATAAGCTCCGACCTGATAGGCCACTTGGCTCGTGTGCAGTCTTTACCTTTACCTTAGCCACCCGGTTTAACGACGTTGCCCAAGTACAATCGAAATGGTTTTATACCCAGCGTTTCAGACACATTTCATGATGGTACTCGTAGAAATAACCTTTACTGCCCGTTTATGTAAACAATAGTCTCCATTTGGCGCGAAAATATGCTCGGATATTTTTCCGCGGAAATTATCTGTTCTGAGAAGCAAACAGTTTTCCGAGAGCGTAGCTCGAGGAAAACTGTGAATTTTGAGGAATATAGATACTGTCCAAGGCCAAATGGAGGCTATTGTGTTAATTATCCTTCAAATATTTTTGCAACACCCGCGTTTTTGGGACATATTCAGTCACGTGACGCATTTAGACCAATCGCGCGCGAACGAAAATATTTGATGGACTTCGGATATTCTCTTTCTATCTGCTTGGTAAAGTTTACATGTTTCGTAAACCGATCTTCGTACCTGTTAGGCACATATTGTTCTCGCAAATTCCATACTCCGCCAGTAAAGAGTCACTCTCCTCTGCAGAGGCTGGGCAGAAGCTCCTCTTCGGAGGCTGGGCGGGGAGGGGAATAGCGAAAAAAAAAATGGTCACACTTGGAAAAAGGGGTTACTCTTCGAAAAATACGTCACACTGGGAAAAATGGATCACATATGGAAAAATGGGTCACACTTAGAAAAGTGGGTCACACTTAGAAAAATGGGTTACACTTGAGAAACAGATCACACTTAGAAAAAAGTGGCACACTCGGTATAAAGGTCAAACTTGGAAGAATGATCGAGTCACACTTGGAAAAAAGTGTCAAACTTCGAAAAATTGCTCACACTTGGAAAAAAAAGTCACACTTGGAAAAAAGTCACACTTGGAAAAATGGGTCACCCTTAGAAAAGTGGGTCACACTTAGAAAAAAGGGTTCACACTTGGAAAAATGCGTCACACTTGAAAAAAATGGGTCACGCGTAGAAAATTCTTCACATTTGGAAAAAGGATCATACTTGGGAAATTGGTCACACGTGGAAAAAAAGGGTCACACTCAAAAGAATTAGTCACACTTGGAAAAAAGAGGGTCAGAAGTGGAAAAATGAGTCACACTTTATAAAATGAATCACACTTGGAAAAACGGGTCGCCCAAAGAAAAAAAGGGGTCACACTTGGAAAAAGGATCACACTTGGAAAAAAGAATCACACTTAGAAAAAAAGGGTTACACTTCGAGAAATGGGTCACACTAGGAAAAATGCGTCACACTAGAAAAACTGGGTCACATTTGGAAAAATAGATCACACTTAGAATAGTGGGTCACACTTGGAAAAAAGAGTGACACTTGGAAAAATGGATTACACTTAAGGCAATGAGTAACACTAGGACAAATGGTTCACACTTGGAAAAAAGGGTCACGCTTGGAAAAAAGGGTCACACTTGGAAAAAAGGGTTACACTTCGAGAAATGGGTCACACTTGGATAAATGGGTCACACTTTGAAAAATGGATCACACTTGAAAAAAATGGACCACATTTTGAAAAATGTGTCACATTTAGAAAAATGGGTCACACTTAGTAAAGTGGGAAACACTTGGGAAAATGGGTCACACTTGAAAAAAAGAGTCAAACTTAGAAAAAGGTCACACTTGGTAAAATAGGTCACATTTCGAAAAATGGGTCACACTTGGACAAATGGGTCACACTTGGAAAAAGAGATGACACTTGTAAAAATGGATCAAATTTGTAAAAATGGGACACGCTTGGAAAAAAGGGTCACACTTTGAAAAATGGGTCACACTTGGAAAAAAAGGGTCAAACTTGGTAAGGGAGAAGGCACACTCGGGTGATGATTCCAACAACAGTTTCTAAAATTATCGTTACAGCAATGAAATAAGGAATTCCAAAACCTCAGCTGAATCTTTTTACGTGAGAATAAACAGTTTTACTCAGACCACGAGACAGTAATTATATTATGGATTGTTCAGGCGATGCGAAACCGCACTATGCTGCAGGCGAAATTTGTTTAATATCGACTCAATATATCGTTAATCCAATGATATTCATTTCCGGTTCGATGGAATCGATGCTACAATAACCATTCAACCTCGCTCCCAGGTTTCTCTCTCTTCCTATTTCAAGCGTGAGGTCAGGATGGCTGGATATTGTTCACGTTCTTTTTAGCGTGTTAATGGACCTCGACTCCGTCTCGGTCCATAAACACACAAAAAAAGAACGAGGTCAATATCCAGCCATCTTGACCAAACAAGCTTGCAGTGGTCAATAAAAGCTTTTGGCGAAATTTTCCTTGCGGGACTCAGCGTGAAGTCCGCCATCTTGCCCGATGAGGTACCCAATCACAGCGCATAATTTGGTTCATCTTGCCCGCTCAGGTAGCTAGCCATAGGATAAACTGGAGTAAATGGCCATGATGGGGTTTCTGAAGGAAATTGAAACCCAGCTCACTGGCAGAGAGACTGCTGGTTTTCCCTCTGCCGGTCACGCAATAACACGAGTGCAGAAAGAGGGCGACAATTGGACTAATTTGAAAGAGTCGAGCAATCAGGAGAGCTGATATGATGATATTTGCCCACAGTTGTGTGTATGTAATAATCCGGCGTTCTCTTCCTAGATTCCCTGGTTCTATCAGTAGGTTAAGAAATCTTGATCGAAACGTGTACGCCAAATTAGTGCAAGAAAAGTCGTTGGTAAGACAATCCCAAGGAAAACGTTGAAAGATTTGCAGCAATGCTAAGGTTTTACCGCATCACCTATAGGCCAAAGGGTAAGCCACAGGGTAGAATAGGCTTACACTGCGACCTAGACCACAGCCTACCCCACATTTTTCAACGACTATCTAAGGTCACTTAATTTAAAACAGACACCCCTTAGCCTGCCAACTATGGAAGTAAATCTATGACAAAAATCAGTACTCAGGAATTGATATGATCTATTATCTAAATTGTACATGCATCAATCAAAAGCTGAATGGCAACTAGCCGATTCTACAAATAGTCATTACGCAAACAGGCATCACGTTAAAAAGCATCACACTAAAACGCATCACGCTAAAAGGCATCACGCTAAAGGGCATCACGCTGAAAGGCATCACGCCTAAAGGCATCATACGAAAAGGCATCACGCAAGAAGGCATCGCGCTAAAAGGCATCACGCGAAAAGACATCACGCAGAAAGGCATCACGCAAAAAGGTATCACGCGAAAGGTATTACACTTACTAAAAGGTATCACGNATGCCCACACTATGCAGGTGACGCTAACAAATGGGCCTGAAGGGGGGATCCTTGCAATATTTGATTGCTTACTCTAAATCCGAAAACTAACCCTAACCTAACCTTATTCTCTGCCTTAAACCCTAAGCTAACCCTAAGATTCTAAGCAAACGCTAAAACACTGAAACACTGCTTGACCGTAATAATAAATCCTCACATCACGCCCGTGAATTAGTTTTTCCGTAGTTCAAGTTAGCAATTAGCAGTATAATTTTCAGCTATAAACAGTTGAACTGTTAACGGTATTGTGGATATTTAGGTAGCAATACGAGTTCCAGTCATGTTCCCACGATCTTCACCTCTTCCTATTCTTGACCGGTTGAATAAAACACTATCAGTAAGAGGCTGACGTGCAAGAAGTAATGTACAAACCTCCTTTGGTCGTCCTCCATTAAGCTACTTTTTTCATTTCCAAATCCGTCATCTCCGAATCTGTCTTGCCTCTGAAATAAGATTGTTATCCTATGAGGTCATTTCAACTGACAGGAACTTGAAAACAAATTATCCGGAAGATCATACTGGATTATGTGGAAATTTCAGATATTAAAGCCTTTCCAATGAACAACAGTGAAACGAAAAGCACTTCAAAGTCTAACCTACAGTTTAAACTCTTTTAATATTAGCATAAACATCATGCCCGCCAACTTTGACGCATGCTTGATCTTTTTTTGTTGACAGGCATTTCTTCATTTAACACAGTTTTTCCATGGAATTTTGTCGTTGCGTTCGTGGAAATTGTTCCTGGTAAGAATGGTAAGCAGTTGCCATATCGCTAATGCGAAACAATTTTTCTGTTTTATTTGGAAAAAAGCTCTGATTATGCATAGGATGCAGATGTTCGCGAATTATGTGGATCTACACCACCGCATCCTGTCAGATGCCCTGAGGCCCCGGGCGAACGCCGGAGGATTTGAAAAAGCAGCTTTGTTAGGCCTACAGTCCACACTAATCCGTCACGAAAACGGAGCTTTTCGAAAACGCTCCTCAAACTGGAGAAATCTGAAAATGCCGGCTTTTCGTTTTCGTTTGGACCAAAAACACTTTGAAAACGGAGGTTTTCGTCAACGATGTAGCTACGATAATTATGTCGATTTCCCTGCTCGAGTTTTCCACAAACACAAATCTGAAAAAAATGACCGGTGATTGTTGCGTTTTGAAATTCCTCCGGCGTAGTGTAGAGGGAAAACATTTGATGCGTTTTCAGAGTGAACCCTCCGTGGGCGTGGGCGGGGCCTGAATTATTGAGTATAGTTTCATTTTTAGTGAACTTTAATGCTTGTTTGTCTGTGTAATTCAGAAGTCTTTAGACAGAAACCTAGACTGCGTAGCAAGCGTCCCGTACGAAGAACTTTCCTGCATTCTGGCCGCGCATAAATTGGAACAAGAACAGAAATCAACGAAGCTTGCTCTAGCTGGACAGAATGCGGAAAAGCTCTTTGTAGGGGAACGCTTGCTACGCAGGCTTACAGAAACCAAAAATGTGCATTTTTTTTCCAAACAGTAATAAGATCAATGTGAGTCATCAAGTCATAGTGACCTTCCTGCCTTCACACACATCCATATTACAATAACGAAAAAAAACCCGAAATATTAAATTATTTAGTACCTGTGAAGTTCTTGTACTTGTTGAACCGACTAATAACTTTTCCTTTTCAACCACTTTCTAAAAAGGGTTAAAATGAGAATGGAAATAAGAGAGAGAGAGATACTGGGGCATCCAACAGGCAGGCTATGATTTAAGGCGTACACAAACAGCGACAGGTGATAGTGGGACCAGGGAATTACAGTCTCCAAAATATTTGCATGGTCAGCAAAGAAAGGACGTCTTGTACAACAGCTTAAAGCCATTAGATTCTATTCTACACACTTAACAACTTTTTAGCTTGGCATCTAAGCAACTGAGAGGGGCCTTTGCACCTCAACAGCAACCAGAAAAATCTGATTTCTTTTGAACCTTAAAGGAAGGTCATGATGAAGCTGGAGTGAATGAATAATGACTGGAGACACTTGCATTATTTTTTAAACATTGCAATCTGCAGTTCTCAGCTACATTATAAACTGGGTGGATTCAGATATAAAAACTATTTCTTTGAATGCTCTATGCATATCTCGCAATAAGCTACTGTTACAAAAGCGAAAGGTAAAGTTTGTCTGAGACATAATAAAGGTGAAAGGAAGCAGTAGAATGAAAATAAGGTATTGTACTTGAGATTGGACAGGAGGCATGGTGGCCTCACAGTTTGTGACTCCTTGACTCTTGATCGAATGCTGCCAGTTCAAGCCCTGGCTGGAGACACTGTGTTGTGTTCTTGGGCAAGACACTTGACTCTCACAGTGTCTCTCTTCACCAGGGTGTATAAATGGGTTCCAGCAAATTTTATGCTTGGGGTAACACTGTGATGGACTAGCATCCCACCCAGGAGAGAGTGGAAATACTTCTAGTCACTTCATGCTTCAAAAACTGGAGTTAAGCACCAGCCTGATAACCACGGGCTACTTGGCTTGTATGCAGACTTTACCTACCTCAGATTACATACTTACATTTTGTACAGAGTAGTACCGTGAAATAGACTCTCTAAATTCACCCTTTAGTCTTTCATGCTGAACACGCTGCTGTCTCTATAAATTATCAGTAAGAAATAAAGTAATTATTGATAAGTTACAAACTAACAGTATTCTTGGATTGTTTTGATCTGGTCTCTTCCTCTTGACCAACTAGTTGAGGCAGGTTTGGTACCAAATGGTGAGTTAGTTACCAAGAACTTGGTCATTGCAAAATAAATTCATATCAGTGGTGGATCTAGGGGACTGGCCTGGGGGCCCAGGCCCCCGCCCCCTTCCTCATTTTGGGTGAAAAAAGAAGAAATGACCGAAGAAAGAAAAGCCGGCAGGGCAAGCAAAACAAAACCGATTTCCTGAGTTTAACAAAACGTTAGAAAACCATTACAAATCGCTCCAGAATGGTTAGAATCGTTAATTTAAAGTAAGCTAAATCTATCTAAAAAAGGAAAAGTTACTGCAAAAAAGTTGAGAATATTTCAGTAAAAACAGGACAATTCCAAATTTTAAAAGCATGCCTGTCACAATACAGTTGCCATCACAGGCGTCCAAAACTCACAATTCGAGGAATCGCTCAATGCACGCGCTTCGAGTGGGACGTGACGTGACAACCTAAAGTGCGCGGAGTTGTGTTACACTTTGGGCCGTTGAGAATTTCGGCGTTCTAAAAGGCATTGCAGGGAGTTTAAAACAACGAAGGATAAAAACGCGTAACGAAGTAAAATGTTACTTTTTTGAATAATGATAAAGAACATATACCCACCTTGCCTGGTTTATGTTGTCCGTTTGGCCTGCTTCATCGTTTTTTAGGTGTTTGTAGCAACTTTCTAAAGACCTAAATTTTATTTCGTTGCGCGTTTTTAGCCTTCGTTGTTTTAAACTCCTTACAATGCTATTTTGAGCGCTCAAATTGTCAACGGCTTAAAGGTGCTTTAGGTGGTCACGTCCCGCTCGATACGCGTACATAAATCATTAACATATTTGATCGTTTTCTCGAATCGTGAATTTGGGAAGCCTGTGTTGCCATGAGAACATCAAGTGCCTTGACCAATCACATATCATACATATCATGTTTCGAAATATATTTTAGGAAAAGTCAGTAAATCTGGAGCTCATTGCCTCAACGCCTTTAAACTTACAAGAGCGAAAGCCAGCCTGGTCTGAATAGGGTTATGGGCGCCTACAAATTTCCCTTTTTTTTTTGACAGTTCGCTATGGTACCCTGTTGCTACGAAGGTGATGATGGGGTTCACCAATGATTATGCATTGTTTAATAGCATTCTTTTACGATCAAAAGCTCCATCGAAGCGCTACTACCGTAAACTGTTGTAAGCCACCCTGGGGAATTACCATGAGTCCTTTAGACCCCATTTATATGGTCTCGGGTACCCGAGACAACCCTCCCCCCGAGTTACCCTGGCAGAGGTAACTTTTAGCATATCTCTTTGCAAGATTCCACCAACCGTTTACATTAGGATTGCGAACCCGTCTCGGGGAGCGAGACAATTCGGGTGGGTGAGTTGTCTCGCCTCGTCAAGTAAAGGGTAACCCTTGCAAGCGGGACAACTTTTCTTCATATAAACGCTTTGTCTCGCCTAACCGGGACAGCTCTCGGCGTGGCGAGTGTCACGTAATGCCTAGATTTAAGATTTAAGATTTAAAATAGAAATTCGTATCAAAGAAGTGAAACTTAACTCGGCAAAACCCACTGTGATCGAATGACCGAGGGAAACTCAGTGCAAAGAAAGAGGAATATTTGCATATTTGATGATTCAATAAGGATTATGAATAATCATGCAGGGTCAACTTTGACTCGGTCTACAGGGACTACGTTTTCACATATAAACGCTCGCTAAAGTTGCCTCGGGGAGAGAATTATCTCGGGTACCCGAGACCATATAACTGGGCCTTAAAGGCGTTCACTTGATGTATTTACCTTTTTCCTTTCTCAAGATATGCCAAACTGATCCCGATGTTGCTGGGCATACCAGCCCGTGTGCTGACTCTGTTGTTGACTTTAAAGTAGAGAACGATGGAACTACCACCATAAAGTATGAAGAATTAACTGATAAGTCTGGTTACAAAAGGTACTTCACAAGATTTGCCATACATTTTTGACCAACAACAAGACGAAATAACAATAGTATCCAAACTCCTACCAAATAATATATCTCAAAAATGTATCTGAATAATCCTGGCCTCACATCGTCACTGGTCGAAGTTATGTAATATGAATACTCTGCCGAAGCGTCGATTTAGACCGTGGTGGAAAGAGGGGTGGAAGAGGCGGCGGGCGGAAAGAAAATGCGAATTTGAGACGGCATTACAGCATTATATTGGCAGCCAGTGGGAAGAAAACACTAACTACTTATTAACCGAGAGTGACGTCTTTGCGTGAAAATCTTAAACCGAGACCTTGCGGTATGAGGACCTTGAGGAATATTTTGAACAAATTTGACTTAATTCAAGTTTATGGACTTTTCTGAAACAAGTTAAGGGTATGCGGCTTATGCAATTTAGCGCGACTTGGTCGAGCTGTGGCTCACAAACCTACTACTTGGAAGTTACCTGCCTGCCCACATGAAGCTCTCTTTTACATAAAAAAGTGTAGAGATGAACTAGTGTGCAGTAAACGTTGTCTAAATTGGGCAAATGCCATGGAAACGTGACGTTTCCATGGCAACTATATTTGGAAAAGTCAAAAAATCCAAGAGCAGATGTAAGAGAGCGACATCAGTTATTGACAACATGATAAGGAAAAATAACATCTATGTTTGTGCCAGCTCAAACATGTAGTGTAAGTTATGACTGTTTCACATCCTCAGGACGGTCAGTATCAACCTTAAGTGCGATGAAGGCCAATCTCCTGGAGACATAAGCGGTGTGAAAGAGGACTTCATACCTAAAGACTCAAAATATGTATGTCAGAGTTTCGTGAAATATTGCTAATACTCTTAGTCAAAAGGCAAAAGAAGTGCATCAAGTCATTATCAGGTTTCAGAACCTCTCTACCCAAAGCGGTTTTGGAATACTTAGTGAATCATCTACATAACATTGAGAGAGGTGGAAATCTGGAGGTCCCTGGTTCAAATCCTCCGCCCTACCGCTATCTGGATTTGTTCTCGGTAGCCCCGAGTTCAACTCCTCGGCGGCGTTATGTAAATAGCCAACTGGTCAGCCTCCCACCAGTTGGGATTCCTAATAGTTTATGTTATATTTGAAATATTTGTTTATTTATTTACAGTGTCCTCAATTAGCACATTAGTGCTAAATACATCGACACTTAAATAAAGTGATTATTGTTATTATTAAACGCTTGTTGGCAAAACAGTGAAGAGTCAAAAGACTTGTGCCCAGAACTGTAACTGTTTTTCGACTTCTTTGTATTTGTTACTAATTTCAGTAGATTTGCTTTTCAAGAAATCCTTTCTTATTTATGATTCTGAAAGCTGTGATTTCAACCACTGCTCTCAAATTGTCTTCGTTATCGCAGAGAGCAACTCTTACATCCAGGTGCGCATGTGACGATGGCTGTCCTTATCCGGGGGAGACTGGTGGCAGTACCGGGCTAAGCACTGGAAGCATTCTATTGATAATGTAAGTGAAGCCTTATTGGTGATATCAGTATGTCTGTCACTCAGAGATAACAGGGTGTTACACACGTTTTCAACTAAAATAGGAGGTCAAAAGGCACATGAAATGTTTCCGATTTTCGTCGATCGTTATTTTTTTCGAATTATTTGAATGTCTCAGTTTTTAATGGTTTCAGCACATTTGGCCTTATTACAATTTCATTTTGTTTTCAGGTTTTTCGTATTGCTCATTGTTTATGTAATTGGTGGAATTTTAGTTAACAAGTTCAAAATGGGAGTTGAGAGCATGCCAGAGATGTGTCCTAATTACCAGTTTTGGGCTGGAATACCATCTCTTATCAAGGTAACTTATATAAAATGATATTAACAATAAAATAATACTAATTTAAACAGCTGATAAATAGAGGATAATACATGGGTGCGCGTATATACGGAATTTCTCTCCGAGTTTTCAACTTGATATCTCACGAGTGAGCGCATATAAAGTTGAACACGAGAAGAGAAATTACATACCTACAACCAGCCATGCATTATTTTGTGTTGTTTTGTTTATTATATAAGCATACTAATAACGACTTTTTTAAAGATTTTCCGAAGATTTCCGAACACTTTCCGAACACTTTCGGAAGAATACAAAAGCAAAAACCGACACAACGTAGGATGATTTTTTGAAGGGGTACTATATTTCGGCCGGCCAAACCAGCCTTCTTCAGGTACAATGGAATTACTAATTAGTAATCAATTACTTTTGCGTATTTCCGGTATTACATAAATATCGGTTACATAAAAACACCTACCAATGTAAAATTTTCCATTGTACCTGAAGAAGGCTGGTTTGGCCAGCCGAAATATAGTACACCTTCAAAAAATCATCCTGCGTTGTGTCGGTTTTTGCTTTTGTATTCTTCATTTCATATGTAAAGCCGATTAGATCACTATTGATCCAACGTATACCAGCAGGATCATCGTTCCGGTTGCTTGCTTAAACATTTTATAGTCACTCTCGGAAGATCTCCGAAGATTCTCCAAAAGTTGTCTGAAGGCCAGACAAAAGTCTCCGAACATTTTTCGAAAATTTCCAAAGATTACGGAATATTTCCGAAGATAACCGAAAATTTCCAAGTCAGAACCGGTAATGTTTCCATCATACAGCAACACATTTAAGTACTTTTTAAGGGATTATGTAACCATAGAAATGGTGATCTTTTCACTTGTGAAAATAACATGTTATTTTCATGTTGAAATAACATGTTATTTTTACATGTGAAGATATCATGTTTGCGCGCGAAAGTTCACCTGGTATTTCACTGGTGTTTATATAATAAAGCTATCTAAGTAACCTGTACATGTTAAAAAATAAAACTGATCATCGAATCCCTGATATCTTTTTATGAATTTCTGAAACACCGTCTGCTTAAATTTTTATCGTACCTAACCCTGGATAGGTTAGTTGTGGCCAAGAGAAAATGAGGGGACAGCTATCTGCGCCTTTATTTCCTCTTGGTGTGGCTAAAGATGCGAGTAAACCGAAACTCACGAAGAGTTTCCAAACGCTTTGGTGCCTTGTTGCTGTTATTCATAATTTATGAGTTATTGACCAAGCGTGAGGTCAAGATGGCTGGATATTGGCCGAGTCCTATTCCTGCGTGTTTATTGACGTCCATGAGCACCGCAATAAACGAGGCAGCGTAGCCGAGTGGTTTAGGGCGCTGGTGTTGTAATCCGGAGGTCTCGGGTTCGAGGCCTCCACCCTGCCCCTAGCGGGATTTGTTTCTCGGTAATCCCGAGTTCAAATCCTCGGTCACGCTTTGTAAATAGCCAACTGGTCTGCCTCCTGCCAGTTGGGATTTTTAACTATGTTACGTTTATTTGAAATATTTGTTTCCTTTGTTTTAGTGGCATGCCGGTAAACTAGCTAAGCTTAGTGCTTGTATAGCTAAGTGCATGACCACTATAAAGAAGATTTAAATTTTCAATAAAAGGACGAGGTCAATTTCCAGCCATCTTGATCTATCAAGCTTTGTAATTGTCAATAATTGATTTATTACATGGCATTAAGAGGGTCATTTTCGAGCGGGAGGCAGCTGGTATAGGGGTAATTCGGAACGGGGAAGATTGCCCATTTTGCCTTTCAGTTAGCCAAACACAACGTAGAATTTGGGTTCATCTTGCCCGCTCGCGGGATAACAGTACTCAAAACGCAGGCCTTGGGCTTGTTCGAAATAGGAATGCACTGAAACGAGCATGTACCTCTAGGTGGTTCATCCATGAACTCTGGGTTGAAATAAGTTGTGAGGCTGTTTACATCTGTTACTGGTTGTCTGAGGAAACTTTTCCTTTTTATATTTCATTCTTCCAGGCTGGAGTGGTGTTTTCGTGTAGCAGTGTTAAGTCTGCATGTTTGTCTCTCTATCGGAAGTGCAATAAAGACAGCTACGCCAAGGTTTAGTCCAGTAATTCAATGATCAAGCCATCAAGGTTGGCAGGAGACATGCCAGCCACGAAGACACAATTACAATTGATTGCATAGTCTCGACCTTTGATATCTTGACAATCATCAGGGTTTAAATTATATTTAAACTGACACCATAGGCCACCAAAGATACTTGATAAGACGTATTAGTGGTACTAACCGTTCAACACGTGAAATATATCAATAAATTTAAAATTGAATTAGGGCCAAAAATGCTTAAATGCGCATTCGCACATTCGTAACAACAATATTTCTAAGCCATCTTTTACATTTTTTTAAGAAAGATAAAAGAAGAAGAAGATGAAACCTGTGCAAACATGTATAAAAAAATGAATTATTGTAGAACATACATGTAGTGACAAAGTTTTAGATTCAAATCATGAAAATATAGGAACATGTATGTTTGATTCATCCTCGGTCATCCAATGGGCGGTTCCATTCACTTTTGGGGTTTTCAAAATTTCTCGTTGCCCGCATGCCCACTCCCTGTGATATTTTTTGGGATGTTTAGAAGTTTCCGAGATATTTAAAAAATATTGAAATATTTAGAGAATTTAGTGATATTTAGCACTATTCATAGCTTTTTTGGCGGAGCCCTGTGTTTTCTTCGCTATTTTCTTAAAGCAATACATCAGTTCAATATCACTAACAACCCAGTTCAGCGATTTCCCACGTCATATCCCACTTCATATCACTGCAAGCACTAAAGCTACAATTTTCCAAAATGGCGGATGCTGGTAACATCGATTGCCCGAATCTTCTTTCTCTGCTCCTTTTACTACTGCAAGAAAATTTTGAAACTTTTTGCCTAAGTGATTCAAAATCGGTTCATTTTAAAAACAAAAACGATGGACATTTAAAGAGTTTTTCAACATATTTAGGAGACTTTTTGTGATATTTAGACATTTTTTGAGAACTTCCGGAGAGGTATTTTGGCGGTTTTACGTGATATTTGTGGAAAGGTCAAACCCTGTGACACTGATGAAGACCTCACAGTTGTCGCTAGACCAAGTCTAGCCGTACCCAGTCCCATGAGGAAAAACGGCTACACGCAAGGTAAGTAGCCTGCGTAGCTAGCGGTTTGGGTGAGTTTTTGTGGCGTGGAGCTGCGAAACCGAGCAGAGAAGCCGCGAGGAAAATGGTGACGAGAGAGAGGGAGAAACCGGCCCTTGCGGCTTCGCTACTTGTTCCGCGCCACAAAATCCCACCAAAACCGCTAGGCTCAGGGTGAGTTTTTATTGAAGATTTCTTAAAACCACGCACCCAGTTCAATGGCGTGACATTCAATAGCGATGTTTCTTGCTGTGGAGTCATTTTCGATCACGTGTCACTCTTGCGTGATCTGCTTGGTGATTGGGAAACTGGCAAGAGAGGTTGCGAACGGGTACGGTCGAATTCTCAGGTCGTTCAAAATTTTAAATTTTTACTTCGTCGCAACATAATCAATACAAATCAAAAGTGGAAAGAGGATATCAAATTCAGTGACGTAGCCGAGTTTCAGAATGAAATCTAGCTTAAAGGTCACCTGATCAGTAAAGGGACCGTCGTTGATTGACCTTGCACGTTTATGAACGTTCACCACATGCTTCAGCAAAGGTATCAGTGGCGTCACGAGTACTGCAACGCGATTTCCCTTTCCTGGTTGGCAAAAAGCCACGACAACATAAAGGGAAATATATGAAGATCGATTGTTGCTTCATTTCTACTAAGATTTCATTTTGAAACTTGGCCAAAACACTCGCATCGATTAGTTTTCGATCAAGTGAAAATAAGAGTTTCAAACGTCTGCCCCTTGGACTGTTTATACTTATACAGCACGTTACGATCGAAAATCTGTTGTTTCAGAGCTGTCTTGTGAACTGTGTGAAGCACCTTAACGGATTTCGGATTTTATTTCGAATACATGTAATACAACAATGCTTCACTGAAAATTCGTGTTAGAAATTCAACCTCAAGTAAAGATTTCACTTGCTTTTAAACTCTTTCTGCCAGCCATACGCTTGGGTGATTTTGTCGCACGCGATCGAAGAGTTTGTATCATCGCTATATCGTTCTTTTGACACCTCGTTGCAATATCCGGTATCGCGGACAGGCTCGTGAATCAAAGTTGTGACCCATTTCTGAACATTCTGTTAACTGCATTCTGCCGATTTACCCCCCTCCCCTCCCCTCCGGAGGGGACTCTCATATAAAAAAGACGGGGGTGCTCGTAGGAAATTTGGAAGGAGCCCCTAAGAGGTACCAAAATCCTGTTTTGTGGGCGTGGCTTGAAATTTTCTTCACTCTTTAAAGGTACCAATCTTAGAACGACACATTATCTCCTGTCATATTATTATTATTATTCGGCTCAATAACCGAGAAGTTTAAAGCAAAAGCTCTTGCTTTGGACCTTATGAGGCTGACCACACTAAGAGGTACCAAACCCGCTTTTGTAACCCCTGAAAGGTACGACGGGCACCCCCGTCCTATTTTGGGAGTCCTCCCGGGTGATTTAACTAAGTCAAAAAAAAAAAAAGAAAGAAACACGGTATCACGGTTTCAGAGCGGAAAAAACGTACTGCTCAGCTTTCGATCTGCGTATACCTAACCGTACTTGCGGGCTCAAGCAATGGGGGAAAGAACGGGGGACTGAATTAATAAGGCACGCGAGGATGTCGCTTGGTTAATGTCTTTATGCAAGCATGAATATTTTTCCGGCATTCCGCCAGCCTGCTGAGAGGCTCTCTTGTTTATATATTCAGTAGTATACTTATATGGATGCAATATTTAAAGATTGTTTGTAAAGCAAATGTGTCTCTGCATCGAAGACAGATTTCCGCGGGGAAATAAAGGGTTCGGAAACCTTCTTCACGTTAATTTTGGCCGGAAAAAAATGATTCCCTACGAAAGCAATACACCAGCTTTCCATTAGTGACGTTAAAATGTTGTTGGGAAATCATATAAAGTTCGTAACTATTTTTGTTAACACGATAGACGAAATTCACGCCATTTTTTTCAAGCTTGGGATAGGCGCGGTGCCAAAAATCTGGCATTCTGCTCTGAATATCGCACTCCGGAAGCCAGGTAACCAACAGCCTTTGCCTTGCGTGACGTTTTGTTTGTTCGATATGGGGAGAACGAATTTCAACACATGGAGAGCTTTCCTCGTTGTTTGGATTCTGTTCGCGTTTAAGTTCTTCGACACTCACGCCGAGATTTGTGAAAAGATTGACGAATGTTCGTGCAGAAAAAGCAATGGAAAGGTCATCAGCTTGAGGCAAATCGACGGAGGTACAACACCAGCGTGAGTACCTTTGTTTCCATTTTCACCGATAACTTTATTTTATGAGCTTGAATTCGCCTATTGCGATCGGATCGATTACGTGTCGTGACCAGCAGATTTGGTATATTAGAAGGACCTCTTTTTATTGCAGTCCTCAGTGGGATATAAGCTTCGTTGTCTTGTTGTCAAACAATGCACCGAAATCAGTTGTTTCAAAATAGCACCTCCTGTTCCAAAGTCGAAATGTTAACTCTCCGAAATGGCAGACTGTCCGCATTGGACCCTATCGTCAATTTATGGCAACCATTCCGAAAGGAGTGAGTAGCGACCCTCCGAAGTGGCGATACAATTTCAAAGTTGAAAGGGCGACTTTCCGGAAACAACGAGACTTTGAATGTATTAACCTGAATTATAAAGATAAATGGAAATAGCGAAGGAGGTATTCTCCTGATATCTGCGTGATGAAAAGCAGTGAACAAGAAACTGACCTTGGGCGAAATTGAAACTGTTGAGACAGGATTCTTTTCTTGTCTGTTTGTTTATATTGTTGTGGTCTATACTATTCCCTATTGATTTGAGTGACACAACCGAGCTCACAGTCACGCAAGTAATTTCTGTTATCCTCTGCCTCCCCTTAGGTTTCGTTGTAAGACATATCCTGCAGCCCAAATCTAAATAAGCCATTTCCGAGTTACGAGTCTTCGTGTGAAACCATTCATATGAAAACGATTTCACCTGCGGGTCCATATCAAACTCCTTTTGCACGAAGATCCACGAAGACTCGCTTTGAAAGATAGGCACAAGCGAATTTAGAAATGGTCTATAGATTGCGTTGAATAGATAGCTTTTGGTTTGCTCTACAAGATGACATAGTTCACTTTGTCAAGACGAGATTTGGCTTAATTTGAATGTCAAAACTGATGTGGTTGCTATGACAATGTCATTGGACGTATTTTTCGAATAGTCAACTCGTGGACCTGACATTGTCAAACGTCCTTGGAGAGACAGTCGACAAGTTAAAATCTCGGGTGAATGAACAGCTACCGAAATTTCAGCATCACATACTAAATCCTCATTCAAAGAAAACCTCTGAGAGGGTCGGGTGTAATTTACCCCTCCCCCCCTTTTGAGAGTGTTGTCGCCTGATTTGTTCTAAGTACTTAATTTGTTCTAAGTTCTAAGTACTTGTTTCTATGAGCAACGGATTTTTGAATGGTGTTTGAATTTACTTAACAACCTTTGATTAAACTGTGTCCGCAGGATTTCGAAAATTAATTCTCGCTAATTGCTAAAATGTGGCTTTCTCGTTAAGTGAGAATGGGGCTTAGCCTAAAGACAGGTAGTTAGCTCAGTTGTCGTTCTAAGCTGCAAACCGAGAGATACTGAGGGAAAAAGGATAGCAGCAGTGCAGTTGTAATTAAAAAGACGATACTGGAACGGTTTTTTGTTTTGCAATTTCTGTTGAAAACCGAAAGGTCCAGGCAACTAGATAGTATTTCTAATATCATGCGTCAAAGTACGTCAAAACACGTTAGTCATTTTATTAGCTTTTTTTTAGCTTCTTTTATTTAGTTATTTAGTTATTTCCTATTTGCTGTGTTTATTTACAGTTTTATAAATGTTAAGGACGCAACTCCCTCACAGACTATGATAGATTACGCCTGGAATCCCTGCACAAAGTTTAATCTGGGTACTGGCTGCGAAAATGCGCTGGTGAGTATATGAAACAAATAAAACAAATTAAATCAATTTTGTCAGCAAGCGCTTGAAAGCTTTCTCCAGGACCAATGTATGGAATGTAATTCGCAAAGTGCAGGTTATGGAGTGGATTCCCTGGCTTGCTTAATGTGTACGATCAGGGGCAAAATCGAGTGTTACTAGTATGCGAGCCATCCTCCGAGAGCCAGGGGCTGCAAGTCGGGACGATGCTATATTTAAGGGCGACGAGATAGTTTCGAGCGAAGGTTTACTTCAGGAGCGGGAGAGGACCTCTCCCGCTCTTAATGTAAACTTTAGCCGGAAACTATCGCGTCGCCCTTAAATATCGCATCGTTACGACTAGCAGTCCCTGGGTCTCCAAGGATGCATGCAAGCCAGCAAGGCATGCGAGGCATGCGAGGCAGGATCCCTAACAAAAAGGCTAGCCACAAGCTAACCAACCTAAGTAAGGCGAACCAGAGTGCTATTTAGGTTAAAAGGAGTGTTATGTAGCCTTACCAGCTAACCAGCAAGCGAGCCATGCGGGCCAATAATCCTCACTGGCTAACCGCAAGCTAACTAAGGAAACCCGTTTTATAGCGGGGAGCGGGAAGCTATTAATTTTAAGCTAGGCAGGCTGTTTAGGCTAACCGGAATGGCTCGCATGACTCGCTGGCTTGCACTTTTTGCAGAGTCTCTGCAGACCCGCCAGAATCCCCAAATTTTTCTTGTTCGAGGACCGGCGCCCCTTCTCTAAAATCGTGGATTTGCCCTTCAGTGACATAGGAGATGCAGGCAGACTTAAAAGCTAGGTTTTATAGCACTTTTCCTTTTTTAAGGAGAATCCTCCAAAGTTACAATTTTTGTAACTTTTATCTTGTTTGCTTTGTTTATTTTCTCTAAGATGTGTCAAGAAGATACAGCTACCCATGAACGCTACACATGTGCCTCCACTGTAGCTAACTTTAACGTAGATAAAGATGGAACTACCTACATAATTTACCAGAGTGTTCTCTTCGGAACTAAAGGTTACGAAAGGTTTGTGTCATTAATTTCTGCTTCTAATTTTTTTTTTTTTCTTTTCTCATAGGATACAAATAGTTCTTGTTGTCATTGTTATTGTCGTTGTTGCCTGTTTAGCATTTATCCGCGCATTGCTCATCATTTAAGGTTGTCCACTGGTTGAATTTCGGTGGTAAAACATTGGATGGACTCTTACAACAATAATTTTCTAACCAGGGTAAAGTCCGTTGTAGTGTACCAGGTTAAAAAGTCTTTTGTTTTTTTTTTTGTTTACAAAATCCGTCAGGATTTTCAAACGTATGTTAGCTTTTTTTTTTTAATTGCATTGAGACAGGATAGCTTCTAGTGTTATCTTGAAATAAAGAGCCAAATATTGAACTTTATTTAAAACACAATAATGATCGTTTTTCGCCACTGAAAGCTGTCGGAGAGGTCGATGTTGCATACGTATATTGTTTGAGCAAGGGCGTGGAATGTGATGTTCCTAAAAACAGCGATCTGTACGGGTCCGCAAATGATCCC